TGTGAGATCATGACCTAAGTGAATATCAAGAGTCAGGAACTTAACCAACTGAGCACCTAGAACCATTCTTCTAAAAAAAAATTTAATGTTTTTATTGATTTTTGAGAGCAAGAAAGACAGAGTGTGAGTGGGGGAGGGGCAGAGAGAGAGAGAGAGAGGGAGACACAGAATCTGAAGCAGGCTCCAGGCTCTGAGCTGTCAGAACAGAGCCCCATGCAGGGCTCGAGTTCACAGACTGTGAGACCATGACCTGAGCCTAAGTCAGATGCTTAACCGACTAAGCCACCCAGGCTCCCCCAAGAACCATTCTTAATTCATTCTTCTTTCCCATCCCCACATCAACAAGTCTGATGGTATCAACTCCTAAATCTCTCTCAAACCTATTTCCTCAGCAATTCTGCAGACTAAGCAATCATCATCTTGTGCCTGGGTCACCACCACAGCCTTCTAACTGGCTCCTCATTCTTGTCATTCTTCCAATCTGATCTGCATAATCTTTGTAAAACAAGTATCATCATGGCTCTTTCCTTAAAACCCTTCAGAGATTTTGCACTGCCCTGGAGGCAGCCCAATTCCTTCACATGGCTTACTAAACCCTGTATGATCTTGTCCTAGCCTACCTTTAAGATACCATCTCTTTAAACTCAAATGTAGCCACACTGAAATGACTTTGACCTCCAAAAACACACAATATTCATTTGGGTCCCTGGGCCCTGACATATTCTTGTCCCTCTGCCTCTTTGCCACATTGCTTGGTCAAATTCTATTCATCCCTTAGACCATAGATATTACTTTCTCTGGGAATCTTCCCAGAATGATCCTGCTCTGTGCTTCTACAGTACTCTGTATTTCTCTAGAGTCCTTATGACACTTTATTATAATTGCTTGCTTAATTATTTAATTTCCCAACCAAATTATTAGCTTTATTAAGGTTTCAGAGAAATGTCTTATTCATTGTTCTATTACCAGAGCCTAGCAAAGTGACTGAAACACAGTAGATGCTCCCCAAGTTGTTAGTGAATGAATGGGTCTTAAAAATTACAAACTCTATTGCAGCCACAACCAAAGGGGACACTTCACAGATGCACATTAACACAAGGTATGCGGGAACACATCTTCCTTCACTCCTGTTGCTGGTCACTTCAAAAGGTGGCATCATTAAAATGTAATAAACAATAATGCAACCATACCAGACTGAATGAAAAGAATTATTTCCCACAAAACACAGAATTCCTTTTCCTTCTCTGAGGCAATTTCAAATGTTTCCTTATTTTTTACACTCCCATGAAAATAACACACAGCATTTGAGAGAGCAGACATCTTTTACCAAGAGGGTTAGAATAAGAGTCAATATTTTGGCCCTTTAGACAGCTCCAGGACATTCTTCCTGTATACACACAATGAATACACACACACACACACACACACACATCACAATGTCTCAGAAATATAGAGCAGGATTAAATAAAGGAAAAATAGATAATGAGTCTCTAAAGGGAATATTTTCAAATTCAGCATGGTGTCTGGCCCAAAGGAGAGGTAACACCAAAAGTGAGAGATGACACCAGAGCTTAGCCCCAGCCAACTGCAAACAGCAAAGGGTTGATGTTGGCGGGAGGAGGAAACCTATGAAGGGGATTAAGATTGTTCCTACTAACTATACACTATTATAAGCCAGATCCAAGGTACTTCATCTTCACTGTCCCATTTTACATATGAGGAAATGGCATTTAAAGGACTAAATAAGTAGCCTACAGCTAATAAATACCAAAGTGTAGTTCTTTCCAGTCCTTAGTGCTGTGCCCCAAACCAGGCAGGACCTAGTCATTTCTTTAAAGTCAAATTTTCTTCTCAATATCCTCTAGCTGAGGTTACCATAAGGCTTATTCACAGATTTAGAAACAAAACAGATAGTTATGCCTTCAGGGAGAGACACTTTTATTGTGTTTTTTTAATAATGGTCCCTGACAGATAGGGGTGGGCAAGATTTCTCTAGAGGTACTTTGATTGCAATTTGATTGTAAAGGGCTATTTTTCCCCACTGTCCTCTCTAGATAGCTCCAGTCTCAATCTTGACTCAATTTTGGAATTTTTAAAGTGATATGACATATCATATATATGTCTTTCCATATACACTCATATATATATGGCATAATATACATGTATATATAATGTATGTACAATGACCTATATAAGATGTTTTGTTGTTTGTTTTTTTTATTTTAGAGAGAGAGAGAGAGGAGGGAGACAGTGTGAGTGGAGGAGGGGCAGAGAGGAAAGAGAGAATCTTAAGCAGGCTCTGCAGCGAGGATCCTAATGTGAGACTGTATCTCACAACCATGAGATCATGACCTGAGCTGAAACCAAGAGTCAGATGGTTAACCGACCAAGCCACCCAAGAGCCACTAAGATGTTTTAATTCTAAAAGCAGAACTCAAGTACACTGCTTTGGAAAAGGGATGCTGAGGCTCACTTATCATTTTGCCTTTCAGAATCAGAGAGGTTTGAGGATATGAAGCACACTGCAAAAGGGGAAATGAATGAAACTGTATGCTCAATGGTCAGAATTTTAGTCCCCTTCTGCCACTAGACTCCCTGAATGGTAACAACCAATCTTATATTCCCCAGGCAACAGAGTGGAGAATGTCCTCACTGGCAAAGCTACACACACACACACACACACACACACACACACAATCTATAGCTACTGACATGGGCATCACTACATGACAAAGCTGGGTTTCCACCTGTGTAATGAATATTGAACCTCATACAGGATTTCTCATCTGCATTTTTGTGACTTAATCTTCAGAATGAATGAACGCCAAGACAGAGACCAAAACAAATAACAAAAATAAAGAAATATGGAAAACAAAACAATGCAGAGAAAACTTCAAAAATACTTATAGTAATAATTAATATTCTAAGAGAAATGAAAAGATATTACAATTACAAAATAAAAATAGGATGCAATTTAAAACTGAAAAATCTTTTTAGAAATTTTTAAAGTGATAACAAAAATAAAGTATCTAATTTTAAAAACTAAAGATAAAATCAAGTAAATCCCTAGATGACCAAATAAAAAGACAAGATGGAATGTAGAAGGGCAAATCTAAGATTATGGCTCAGTCCAAGAGGTCCAATATCTGATTAACAGTTGTACCAAAAATAAATAAATAAATAAATAAAGATAATGAATGAAGAATTATAAAAGACATAATAAAAGAAAATTTCTAGGTTGAGTTTCTAGATTGGAAATGCCCACAAGGATAATTAGCACAACAACAACAATAACAAAATCCACTCATTTTCAAATTTTAGATTATCAGAGACAAAGAAATCCTAAAAGCTTCCAGAAGCAAAAAAAAATAATCCCATACAAGAAAATAAAAATTAGAATGCAATTACATTTTAAAACAAAAATACTAGAAGTTAAACGATAATGAAGAAATGTCTTCAAGATTCTGAAGGAAAATGATTTCCAACCTAGACTTCCATACACAGCCAAATTATCAAGTAACTGTGAAGGCAGACTGTATGTATTTGCATGTTTACAAGTTCTCAAAAATGTTATTTCCTACACACCCATTCTCAGGAATCTATTGGAGAAAATGTATCAGCAAAAGTAGAAGGTCAAATTAAAAAAGAAGAAAAACATGGGTCCAAAGAAACAGAGTTCCATATTTAATCCAGACAAAAGATGAAGGGAATACTTAGAATTCCTAGAAGACGGATGAAGAAAATTCCAAGATTAATAATAAAAGGAAGTTCTAGGTTAATAGCTAAGTAGAAGTTCTAGACAGTAACCAAGCAAGATCAGGGAGATGAATAAAATGGCTTTAGGAGATAAAGTTTTGAGAGATAGCCAAAATTAAAAGAATAATAATAGTAACAACAAACAATGGCTAGAACATCTAGTGAGTGTGACTAAATTTAAAAGACATTTCAAATATGTCAGAGTTTGTACAGGATTTAGAGGAAGATAAAGGAAAAACAAAGCAACTGGTAACATGAAGCAATTGTTAACCCTAAAGAATTATAGAAAGTTGCACAAGAAAGGAAATATGATTTCAGCATACCATGTGAGTCAGCTTTGAGTAGTAGTTTCATAATATAGCAATGTAAACAGTGAATACTGAGTTAACAAAAATGGCCATTGGACAATACTGGGAGGGCAGAAGGAGGCAAAAATGCGTATGTTGGGGGCCAAACAGGGACCATCAGAGAGAATCATGTAGGAGAGAAATATCCTCATGCCCTAGGTTTGAAGTCAGCAGACAATACATCACACTGAAAAATTAGAAAACACCAGTAGAAGCATGTTATTTGGGAAAATGAAGATAAACAGAAGAAGTAAGTAAAAGTTAAAAATGATTGATTCTGAGGAAGAGAAAATACGGATAGAAATAGGAAAGGATTGGGCAAGGGATTCTATTACTTTCTGGTAATATCTGAGCTTTAAAATTATAAATATGCAAGGCACCTGGGTGGCTCAGTCAGTTAAGTGTCCAATTTCGGCTGAGGTCATGACCTTGCAGTTCCTGAGTTTGAGCCCCACGTCAGGCTCTGTGCCGAGAGCTCAGAGCCCGGAGCTGCTTCAGATTCTGTGTCTCCCTCTCTCTCTACCCCTCCCTCTTCGTGCTCTGTCTCTTTCCATCTCTCAAAAAATAAACATTAAAAAAGTTTTAAAAAATTAAAATAATACATAGGTATTACTTTGATATAACGTACAATTTAAAAATACAGTCGAATATTTACATTATACATTATATATTATATAATATTTATATTAAAATAATATGTAAAGTCTAATTCATTTATAAATATATAAATATACACACAGAAGTTCTGGATTGCATATAATTGTTACTAGTGACTGTCTCTGAGTGATGAGGTTATAGGAGTTTTGCTGGTTTCTTCTTTTCCTACAAAGATTTGTATTGTTATTTTAACAAGAAATACACTTTTTCTTTACAAAATATTTTAATGTATTTGCTTACCTTAGCTGATTTTTCAAAACTTAAGCCTCCATCGAATTTAAAAAGAATTGTCATATTGTATCCAGTCTGGTTTCCATGTCCATGAGGCCACCAAGTTTCTACAGTAGCAGTCTTTCAAGAAACAATTTAAGTCATTCCAAGTAAACTGTGGCATATTTTCAGCAACATAATATAGTCATTCAGAGCATTATATCAATGTCTTATAGAGTCAAGCACAGAAACTCTAAGTTCTCTATTTTGCCAAATTATACCAATTCATAGAAAATACTTAAAAATCAACATGCTAGGAGCGCCTGGGTGGCTCAGTCGGTTGTCTGACTTTGGCTCAGGTCCAGAGCTCATAGTTCATGAGTTCAAATCCCCTATCAGGCTCTGTGCTGACAGCTCAGAGCCTGGAGATTGCTTCAGATTCTATGTTCCCCCTCTCTCTCTGCCCTTCCCCACTCACTCTCTCTCTCTCAAAAATAAATAAACATTAAACAAAATTTTTTTTAATCAACATGCTAGCATGGATTAACATACCAAAAGGGAAAAGAAAGAACAGAATAACATGGGTTTTCAAAAAAGCAATTCTTTCCATTTCTAATACTGAAACTCACTTTTATTCTGTATTCTTAACATTTAGAACTGGACTTTGAGGTTGACTCTCCTGTGAAGCCCAGAACTAGAAACTGTTTTGAGTTCTTACTGCATCCCAACAGTCACTGAATGTTGATTTACTCCATCCCGTTCAGTTCACAATGATCAATTCGGGTAATAATAAAAGGAAAAAGAGGGGTGCCTGGGTGGCTTAGTCGGTTAAGCGTCCAACTTTCGCTTAGGTCATGATCTCGCAGTTCGTGGGTTCGAGCCCCACGTCAGGCTCTGTCCTGACTACCAGCTCAGAGCCTGGAGCCTGTTTCAGTCTGTGACTCCCTCTCTCTCTGACCCTCCCGTGATCATGCTGTCTCTCTCTCTCTCTCCTAGAAATAAATAAAAAACATTTAAAAAAAAATAAAGGAAAAATCCAGCCCACTTTTACCAGTGAAAGATCATGAATTTAGAATTAGAATTCTGCTTGTAAAATAAGCACCAATATACAAAATAATTTACAAGTACCAGTCATTATAAATGACTGTGTTTGAATATAATGCTTAGAATATATTTTGGATTTAGGATACCATAAACCAGTGCAGAAAAACGAAAACACAACACACCTGACTTCTTGAGAGAAAAGGATGTCAAATCACATATTCTCCATTTTTTTAATCCCAAAATTTGGGAAAATCATTCCTTAGCTCATAACATACACAAAAATATATGACATGTAAAAAGTGAAGGAAAAACTGGAAAAGAACATTTTTCTTTCATGCTAGTCTATTCTTTCTAGTCATTTTTTAACAGTATCACTTTTCATCTAGTTGTTCTGAGAAAGCATCATCATTCACCTTATTAATTTTCACAAATAGCTCAACAATCCTTTCCCCAGGTTGAAGTTCAATGCTGTATGTCTGCTGTGTTTGCAATTTAGGGATGGCTACAATCACTTGACCAGAAATTGGCTTTGGGCTGACAACATCAAAAGAAGACTCTATTTCAAGATTCCACCCCTGGGTACAGTTATCTAAGACATAAAGAGAAAAAAAAAGAAACGCATATTATATATGTGTATAATATGCTAATAAGCATTATCGCTGCACTCCTCAGGATTCATTGAAGAAAATACTAAAGCAGCTTCTAAACTAGTAAGCACTCCATAGTTGCTATCACGATAAAAAGTTCAGTGCAAATTCTCATTTAATCTTTAGAGTTTACTCAGTTTTGTTTTTTGTGTTTTTTTATCATTCATTTTGAAGAATAACCAAAATTATAGATTTTATAGATACTTCTATTCTAAAAGTGTTATAATCATAAGTTATAAAAACATTATAAATATGATATCACAAATGAAAATATAGATTTTCACAGCCATACATACCAGAATTATATACCTTTTTATAAAGTAAAGTAAAAATACAGTTTTGTAAGGCATATAATAAGGTATAAACTTAGATATAGTAGAATTAACCAAAGGTGAAAAAACAGAGATACACAGTTGAGCCTTGAACAACATTGGTTTGAACTGCATGGGTCCACTTATATGAGGATTGTTTTCAACAAATATATTGAAAAATGATTTGGAGATCTGTGACAATTTGAAAAAACTCATAATGGAATCACATCGCCTGAAAATACAAAACAAGTTAGGTAACATTGTAAGAGTACAGTATATAATCCATATACAAAATATGTTTTAAGGCACGGAGGAGGGCATTTGTTGGGATGAGCACTGGGTGTTATATGTAAACCAACTGACAATAAACTAAGAAAAACAAAATCAACTATGTTATTGGTAAGACTTCTGGTCAACAGTAGACTATTGGTAGTAAAGTTTCAAGGGAGTCACTAGGGCACCTGGCTGGCTCAGTCAGTAGAGCATGTGACTCTTGATCTCTGGGTTGTGAGTTCAAGCCCCACATTGGGCAAAGAGATTACTTTAAAAAAAAAAAAGTTACATGTGAATTTTCAACTGTGCAAGGGGTCAGCACCCTAGTCTCCATGTTGTTCAATGATCAAATGTTATTTTAAATGTAGATTATTTAACCAAGAAATATTTTTATGTGCCATGCACTATGCGAAGTGATGGCCGGGATAAATACGGCCCCTGACCTCATGAGTTAAGAGTCTTATGGGATACAGACAAGTACAACAGTGAGATAATACCAGGATGGGAGAAATATGAGGTTGTTCTGAACAAACATTCACAGGAAGGAAGGTCCCCTAACTTATAGAGGGTGAGGGAAGGTCTTTATGAAAAAGCAGTATTTAGCCGAGCCCAAAAGGGTGACAACTATTCTGCACTATGAGAGCCATGAGTGAGGAGAGCAATGCCATTGACAAAAACTTGAGCAATAATGAAACTGGTAAGGGAGATCAGTGTGACTGAGGAAGTAAGCACGGTCCAGCTCATGCTGGGTCACGTGCAGGGTTTGGGAACTTTGCCCTAGATCAATAAGGACCCACTGGAGAGTTTTCATCAAAAAGGATAACGCTATCATATCTGCATTTTAAAAAATTACAATGATACAGCAAGATAAAAACAGAAGAGCAGAGAGACATGAAATTTCTATTGGTGCAAAAACGATAGAAAGTGCCACTTGGAAAATCTTGGAATGGAGGGGAAGAAAAGGGAGCAAGGCTGAAAAGGAAGCTCCTGAAGAGAAAAGAAATATGAAACAGTTGCCCAGGGAATAAGACTTGGGGAGTGAAGTCTGAGAATGGGGTAGAATGTTTCAGGAGGGTGTTGAAGTAGCATGTTATATTATTTTGAAGTAGCATATAATATAACCCCTTCCTCCGTCGTCCATTAAATTCACATTGTTTAATGTCTCCAGAATTGAATCTGTGGATTTTAAAATAAGACTGTATGCCAAAGCAGGCTTTGGGTGAGAGCAAAGTGGAAAAGCAGACCCATATTTTTTAGGTTACACAGGAGAAACCAGGGATGAAGTACCCAAAAGGGCTGGATAGACAGGCTGTCAGAGACACCAACAAAAGTTCTGATTCCTTACTGCCACAGGAAGGGAGGACATGACTGGTGCAGATGCACTTAGCTTTCTACAATGTATGGCTAGAAATTGTAGAAGTTCCTACTTGGTGGTTTCCATGTTCCTCTATGAAAAGGGGCCAGGAAAGGGTCATCAGCTGAGAAATATCTGAGAGACTCTTCTCCTACAAATAAGGAGGGGATTGATAATCATGGCTATGCTGAAAATGAAGGAAAAGCATGTAGGCTGATCAATGACCAAAGACTTCATAACTGACATTCTTTACAAATGTAGAACCACACCAGACCTATTGTAAAGATGGTCACACCACATCTCATCATCTGCATCTCACCTCAGCCAAAAGTATAGACAGATTGGATGTGCACAGAAGTAAAACTAATCATGGACTTAAGAACTATTTTTACTTATTAAATGACTCATTCTTAGGAACACTGCTCAATGAGCCCTGAATTAATTTGTTCTGATCCAGCCAATTCTGTAGTTTACCCACCCACAGCCTCCAAGTTTTTCTAAGATATGGTAAAATATATCAAGACAACCACGCTTGTTTGTTAAAGATACTTTACTCCTACCAAGGATGTACTAAGTCTTTCAATTTTTCCTTTACAGCATCCTTACTGTTTTAAACAGAAACACACATTACAATCTGATCCAAAGGTATTGATTTTCTAAAATATCCCTAAATCTTTGACAACTACATGACTTCCCCATCATATTCTGTCTGGCTTCCTTTGCTATCTCTTATTTCAAGAAATAATAATAGATAACATTTACCCAGAACCTCCTACAAACTAGGCACTGTTTTATGCTATCAACATGTATTAACTTATTTAAGCACCACAACACTTATAAGTATTATAAGGTAAATTCTATTATTATCATTTGATAAATGAGAAAACTGAAGCACAGAGGAGTTAAGTAACTTGCCCAAGGTCATAAAGCTAGTAAGCTGCAGAGCTTGGTTACGAGCCAAGACAGTCTGAAACTGTCTATGTAGAGAGTCCATATAAAAACTATATAGTTAACCTCCAAGTTATGCCAATAATACCCAAATAATTTCCCCCCAAACCCTGTCTTATTGGTGTTCAGGATTTTTACAGTAAGGAGGGGGTTTAATTATATAAGGGAGCATTTGTTTTAATGATATCAAGTGATGACAGAAAGTAAATATATCTTTTGGCTTAGTCTTTAACCATAACAGCACAGATTCATAAAACTTTTGAACTAGAAGTATGTTGACAGATCACCTAGTCTACTTTCTGATAAGTGTTTAATTTCCTCTAGACTACAGGATGGCAAATAACTGGTCTTTGGGCCAAATATAACCTACCTCCTGTTTTTATAAATGAAACTTTATTGGAACACCGCTGCTATGGACTGAATTGTGTCCCCCACCTCCCCGAAATTCATATGTGGAAGCCCTAACCCGCCAATATGATTGTTTCTGGAGGTAAGGTCTTTAGGAGTTAATTAAGTTAAATGAGGTCATAAGGGTGAGGACCTAATCTGATAGGTCTATGGCCTATAAGAGAAAAAGATCTACCTCCTTCTTGCCTTCTCTCCTTCCCTCTATTTCTCTCTCTCCTTCCTCCCTTCCTTCCTTCCTTCTTTCCTTCCTCCCTTCCTTCCTTCATACCTTCCTTTCTTACTTTCCAGCACACCAATCATGTGAGGACACAATGAGCCAGGAAGAGAGCTATCGCTACAAACCCATCAGCCAACACCTTGATCTTAGCCTTGCCAGCTTTTAGAACTGTAAGAAATCAATGTCTGAAATGTAGGAAATCAAGCCACCTAGTCTATGGTATTTTGTTAAGGCAGGCCAAGCAGGCTACAACAGCAATGCTCATTTGTGTCTTCTGTTGCCTTTGCACTAGAATGGCTGGGTTGAGTAGTTACAACAAAGACCATTTGGCCTCCCAAAAGCCTAAAATGTTTACTATCTGAATCTTTACAGAAAAAGTTTACTGATCCTTACCTTAAAATATTTCCCCCCAAAAATGATTCTCATCTAATATCTGTAATGAAAAAAAAAAACCCTGCCTCACAAAATAGCGTTCCCTTTTGCTAGCCTTGACTATTGTAAAGTCATTCTTCACATTGATTTGAAATCTCCTTTTCTTTCATTTCCACCTGAAGGTTTTAGTTCTGCCCTCTAGGTACCTCTTACCAACTAATAACCACCAAGTTTGGGCTGACTTCTTCAATGTTTCCTATTATTTCCTGTTCAGTGGAAAATGAGCTGCTTGTAAGGGCCTCTCACAGGAAGACAAATAGTGTAATTCCCAAAGGTTACTGGCAGTTTCTATTGTTTCTAACACAGAACGTTCTAAAGTAAATCATCAATTCTCCAGGCTTCATCCAGTTAACTTCCTTGGGTGCTACTAACTGAAAAAACCAAGGCTGCAGAATTAAAAACCCAATATGAAGACTTAAAAAGCCTACCGTGTTGTCAGCAGATACACTGTACCAACATATTTCACCCTCTCCTCTTCTTCCAAATGGAATACAACCTTTCCTTCCAGATGCCATGGAGAATTTAAGTAATTTAGTTTCACAAAGAACATGTACCGTCATGTACTTGAATCATCAATAATTTTCCTGGTATTACCTGGTCACCTCTCTTTACTTGCTACTTAAAACACACACACACACTGTTTTTTAATGTTTTTTTGATTTTGAGGGAGAGAGATAGGGCACAAGCAGGGGAGGGGCAGAGAGAGAGAGGGAGACATAGAATGTGAAGCAGGCTCCAGGCTCTGAGGTAGCGGTCAGCACAGAACCTGACATGGGGCTCGAACCCACGAACTGTGAGATCATGACCTGAGCCAAAGTCGGACACTTAACCAACTGAGCCACCTAAGCACTCCTACTTGCTACTTTTTAAATATATAATCCTGTTTCTAGTGAAGGGGAGCTCCCTCTGATAAAGACCCATTTTGGGGGGCACTTGTGTGCTCAGTCCATTAAGCATCCTACTTCAGCTCAGGTCATGATCTCATGGTTCAGGGATCCA